TGGTGCCACTTTGACAGTGTGATTTTTACCCTATTAAAACCACATCATAGAGCTAACCGTTTTTCACACCTAGCTGAAAGGGAACAGTATGAACTAGGTCTTTGGTAAAGGATCAAATCAGTTATTTTGGCATTCTTGTAACATCTTTAATAACCCAGGAATGCTGGAATGCCTCAAAGAGGACCCAAATTTAGTAATTCTAAATAGCAAATTCTTAATAGCCTTTATTTTTTAAAAACTTAGAAAATATCATGAATTATGCTTCTGGTCACCATCAAGTTCTGGTGACAAAATTATATATAAAGAACAAAAGGAAAGAAGTCATATTCTTTCTCTCCCCCTCCTAGTTTTATTACTCTATTCCCCTCTAACAAAAGACACAGAATTTCATTCCTACAAATTTCCTATTATCAGAGACAACAGAGAGTCTTGCTTAGATATTGGGATAGATTTAATGACGTTTCTGACTTCTGTGCAGTATTGACTTTTCCATTAAGAATGTTCTAGCCTCCATGTAGCACATCCTCCTTGGACCCAGTAGAATCTTGTGGTATGTGACCAGGACTTGACCTCTGCCATGGAGACTTGGAGATGTACTGATGAAAAACTTTTCATTTGTTCTTCACAGGAATCAGTATAGATTTCTTTCCGGTAATTCTGGAAAAGCAGCCTGCATACTCTGATTTCCATGGTTCAGCAGAAGCTGAAAGTCAACTTCAAATGCAGGTGGGAAACTTGAAAATTTTAGAAATAGGGAGTTAAAAATGTAGGAGCCATGGGAAGCAGAGAAATAAATGGGAGAAAGGGATGGCTCCTTTGTCCCTTTCCATGGAAGGCAAGCACCAAGCATCGCCTTGAGAACGCTCCCACCCAATCCATTGCAACCTAGGTAAATGTTCCCTGAAGTTGATACTACTATAGGAAATTATGTCAAACCAAAACCTTGTGAATATGGTTTCCCTATTTGTTTTCTCTTTCTTATACACAGAATACAAGTTGTTTGTTTTCTCATTCTGATACACAGAACACAAGTTATTCACCAACATGGCTTTAAATATTCTATTTTTAAGAGATGACATTTTCATTACCGTGCCTTCCATTGAATTAAGACAGAAAATTTGAGCCCTTTCCTTTGACCAGACATTCCTGTGGGTCTGAAGGCATGAGTTCCCTCATGCCTAATAATCACTGAGGTGGAAAGAATACAGAGGAGTCACATGCATTGCCCTGTCTCAAAGCAGAACTGTGCCAATTCTATCTCAAATGGGTGGCACCTTTCTATTTCTAGAAATATTCTGTGAAGAGACTAAAATTCTCCTTAGTCATTTATTCTAGAATTTGACAACCACTGTGTCCCAAATTCATTCCTTTATTCTGTTCTTGTTTTATCTTTAATAGAAAGAAAGAATAACTGATTTGCATTCCAGTTCAATATGGTAGAGAGAACACATGAGAAAACTCCCTGGTCTTTTCCAAACAAGTGAGAGTGAGATGAAATGTAAAATTAACAATAAATAAAACTTTAAAATTGCAAAAGTGTACTCAGAAACAAGAGCAAATTTTGTGAAACATACAGCAATAAATTGTACCAAAGCCATATGGTCCCACTGGCAGATGGGACTAGATACAGACTGTAGGGGCAGACAGTTGAACAGGAACCATGGTCTTCAAGTGGCTTTCTGTATAAAGCTGAGGACCTTATCCTGTATAAAGCTGGGAACTAAGGTCATACTCTTCACAGGCAAACAGGGGCTGACATAGCTCTTCCTACACAAGATGGTTACCTCAAATGCACTGACTGCCCAATGTAACCCAACTATAGGCATCCCAGTCTAAGAGCATTATCTGGGACTGGCATTACACAAGAAAACTGTGGTATATACAAACTATCTGGGCATGAGGGGAGGCCAGGCTGAGTCGCTAATATACAGCCTGGTTTGGAGCTAAGTGAACTACATAGTCTGAAACAACCATCCCATGAGAAAGGTAGGGTTTCTGCAAGAGAAAAATTCCATAAATGTTGAGCTTTTAAACAAAAATTTTAGAAGACAAGGGGAAGTTCAGAACTAAGAAAAGCCATCAAGAAGCCAAACAAAAATGAGAATTTATACCTGAAAAAAATACAGATATTTGAACAACCTGAAATGAACTTTATAATGATATTTAAATGCCTTATAGAAAAAAAAAAGAAAATAAGAAGATCCTAAACAACAACAACAGGAGTTTTAAAATACCAACATGTAAATATTTTAAAACATAATTCAAGCACCAACAAATTAGAGGAAAATATAGTTCTTGAAAATAAAATGAAAAGACACAACAGATGACCAAAATAGTAGGCATCAAAAGACTGGAAAAGAAAATTCCTGAATTGGTGGGCAGACGTGAAATAATATATCATTATGGAGAGTTAATCAAGATGGAAAAAATAAAGAAGTCATTAAAAGAAACAGGATAAAATGAGCTGTAAAAACATACAACAGAGCCAACTTTGAGAATTAGAATAAAGACAGAAAGGGAAAAGGTAACTTTCACAAAAATAATGACTAAACATTGAAGAGAAATTTGAGTCCTGTGGGTGAAAAAATCATGTGTTAAACAGGCTAAATAAAAATAAATCAGATATCTACATATCTCATCGTATGCATCAAAGTAAAAGAGAAAATCTTTAAAGCTAGAAGGAGAAAACAGATTATGTACAAAAGTACTATAATCAATCAACACACTTCTTATTCACAAAGTCAATAAACCATTGATTAATATCTTCAAAGGGCTGAGGGAAAATCAACATGCACCTATAATTTTATACCCAACAAAATGATCATTTAAGAATGAGGTCAAAATAAAGACATTTTAGCATATTAGGAATGGGGAACTTTAGTACCACTACCCACAGAAAAATATTGTTAAAGGTTATACAATAGTTGTTTTTTAAAAAATGAATTCACATGGAAGTGACCTGCAAGAACAAGAAGGAAAATAAAATGAACACCTGGTTTCTATATGCCATAAAATGGCTTTAAAGACAATGTGTTCATTTCTTTCAATTTTCTACTTTCTGGGATTTATGACCTCAATTCCTTTAACGCTCTTTTTCTCTCAAAATAACTGCTAGCTTCCCCTTTCCCTTTCTCTCAATACTGCTTCCTGCTACGCAGCTGAGGTGAAAGACAGCCATACTCCACTCTATGCTTCTCTACCCTCTGTACTGGTCTGCATTATGCCTCAACTGCCTTCCCAGGGAAAAACAATCTCTATATAGTTTAAATAAATTCCTCTGGCATTAGACCACTTTTGGAACCTTCTGGGGTGGGTGGGGGAACTTTTGGTATGCAATTTGACAGTCAATTTTTTAAATTTTTTTTTAAAGTTCTGATTAATATCTTTATTAGAGACTTTACTTCTATCTACCAGAACCCCTTCCATACCATACCCTTGTAATCCAGTTTAAGCAGAAGCAGCAAATAAACACATACATGAATAGTAAATCTGATTTAGGCTCAAAACTAGGCTAATATTTTACACCACTCAGGTTTGTTCAATAAATTTATCAACATATATTCATACTTATAGCATAAATCGAATTTATTCATTTGCTCAATTGTCACATATTTGTTTTATCTTAGAATGTGCATGAGACAGATACTGAAAATTAATAAAGTATCAATGCATTTTTAAAAAATCAAAAAGAATTTTTAAGGTTGAGCATATGCCGAGTCAGTCTTTTACATCTTAAAGCATATACTAGCATCAGCAGTGATATTATCACAGTGATAAACCTAAAATATGGCATGATCTTTTGTCATCTGGGAAAGAATCTGTAGTCTTTATTTTATTGATAAAAAGTGGTGACAAAACGGGTTGGGAATTTCTTCCCCATAAAACAAAATCTCCATTCCTGTGACATTTCAGTTAACTGAGTTGTCGCTAAACCTCATTCCTAGTCCCTCCCTAGCATTTTTTCCCAAACATTTTTGGTTTCCTTAAGTTCTGGGGGTTCTTCATTACTTACACGTGCACGCACGCACACACACATACACACACGCCCTAGACTAGTGATTTTTCACATTTTGGGAGCCATGTACACCCATTTAGGAATACCATAAAGATATGGATGCTCTCTAAAGAATTTACACATATACATTGTTACATCAAATACTTCAAACAAATTTAGAGGGTTCACTGATCCCATTGGGCCACCCACAGACTCTGATTCAAGAACTCTGTCCCAGCAGGAAACAATCAACTTATAGGACTGAAAGCCTATCCCAACACTGTCACTTCAGTTTTCCTAGGACTGCTGTCAGGCCCACGGGCGTTTTGAACCATTCCATGCTCTCTCTCACACCTCTGTTATGGGAGCCAGCCCCAGTCAGATATGAACAAAGTGTCATTGAGGGAGTCCCTGCCTCCGACAAACACGCTAGCCGCAAACTGTGAAAGCAGACGTCCTAACAGCCTTGTGAAAAAGTCCTGCCTGCCTCCCCCTTAGAGCTGCTCTCAACAATGTGTGCATAATAAGTGTGCAGTCTGGAGGAGGCAGACAGCTTTACACTGTCATAAACCTCACTGGTTCAGCTCCTTTGATTTATGAACAGCCCCTCATCTCTTAGAAGCTGTGTTCAGACACAGTTCCCACACTAATTGTGTAGGACACGTGCCACCAAGTCCCCTGGTGCCCACGGCCCATGGAGGGAAGAGGTTGTTTATAGCAGAAAATCTCTGGACCACAATTCCCTTCCCCCAACTGACATCACCTTCAAATGCTTAAAAGCCTAATGAAAATCTGTTAGTGGTACTCAATCACTTATTAGAGCCTAGAATGTGCCCTGCTTGGGCTATAAACAGTCTTTAGGGGCCAGTGTGGGCTGCCCAAAAGTATCCAATTGTTGTTTCTGTCTGGAAGTTTCCCTTCTGGGGATTAGGGAGATGAAGACAGTTGGATGGAGGAGGAAGGAAGGAGACCTATGGCTTGGAAAGAAAGATGCCAGCTGGTTTACCTGGGCATCGGGGGCAGCACAGATGAGGAATATGCACGGGAGAGAGGCAGTGAAGGCTCGGACATCTGACTCGGCTACACAGCACATTCCCGTTCTGAAAGAGAAGGCAACAAGAAAAAAAAATGAGTGTCTTTCAAAGGTCACTGGGATCGTGCCAGTTGGGGAGACAGTCATGCAGGGATGCATCCGGACAGTGAATAACGCATCCCTGAGCAGCTGAATGAAATCAGCACTTTTCTCTCCTTTCCTCATCACGAGCACCTCCGCTGGCTTGGCTGACAGTGTACTGGCATATATTTCAAAGGCTGGGATCACTACTGCTCCATATTTCAACTAATTGTGGAGGCTTCTTCTGGCCTGGCTCTATGGCATCTCTATCATTCCCCAGCCTGAACTGAATGTCTTTTACCAAGAGCCTAGTCTGACTTCATAATCGCCTGCCCAATGCCATGGAAGGGAAAGGATGAGCAATGGGTTCCCTGAACTGATACCCACCCTTGCCCAGCTCATGCCTCTTGGTTTCTATATAACTCTGTTTTGGTCCAGTAGACGGATTCCTCTCCTCACTTCTCTTTTCAGTCAAAATTTTTCTGAGGCCAAGTTAAAGTTTGGAATCGAGTTAATTAACTAGTATGTCTGTGTGGGGTACCTGGGTCTCTGTCTGATTTACAATTACAAGATCCCCAGTTCTGACTGTTCTCAACCATTGCTAGAACAAAGGAAGACTTTGGAAGTCAATTTTGCATTAAGGTTTGCCATCCTTAATTCATTTGAAGCAACAGTTACTTATACCTGCCTGGTTCTTATGGGGGAAGGGGAAGAAGAAGAGAATGGAGTAAGAAAACATGCCCAGCAGTTGAGCTATTTGGCATATTAACATTTTCACTGCCCTGGTGACAACAAAGTTTCAGTCCCCAACAGTGAGCTGTCCATTTCCAATGTGTTGGGTCCAGAATCTGCACAATCATGCCATAACATGCAGCTATCAATCCCCAGATGATTTAATGCCTGCCCTAGCCATTTATAGAGGCAGGCTTCTTTTATCCAAATGTGAATTATCTTGCCACAACCCGATATCTCTTCTCATATATTATCTGGAATAAATTTTGCATTGTTGCTTTTGGAAACGCCACAGAGTCTCCGTATGTGTCACACTCCTCAATACCAGGTGGCATCACCTTGAAGTAACAGCACCAAAGCACATCAGAAACCACTCCTCCTAGCTGAGGTCTAACCTGATTGCTCCTCAATGCGTTATACTGAATTCTTTTCTAGAGTAAACAGAATAATAAAAATATTGATAACTCTAAATATTGATGATGGTGAAAATAGCAGCAGCTGGCATTTCATGAATGTTGACAATTGACCCAACAGTGCTGTATGTGATTGAACTGGATTATTGAGTTTAATCCTTACTGAAACTCTATGAAATAAGTTAATATCATTATCTTATTTAAAATAAGAAGGTGAAGGGATCTCTGAGATACTAGGTAACTTGTCCAAGGTGTCAGGGCCAGCGTTGGAAACTTGCTGTGTATTGGTTCTAGAGCCCAGAAGCCTGAAGTTTAGGTTTCCAAATGGTCAAAATTCTGAAAATCAAATTTCCTGTTCAAATGGCAAAAGAATCAGGCTTGCAAATAACTGCACCTGTTCTACCTGGGTACTAGATAGGAACTGCAGTTCTTCCATGAGGCTTCAAGTGAGAGGTTGATCTTAGAAAGTCGTTATGTCAGAATTCTCAAATTTGAAGGCTTAATATGAGTTCCCCTTTCCCAATTAGCTCAGTGCAATGGTTCTCCACCAAAGGCAATTTTGCAACCCCACCAACTTTGTCCATGCCTAGAAACATTTCTGGCCCTAAAAACTGGAGCTTGAGCTACTGGCATCTAGTGGGTAGAGGCCAAAGATGCTTACTCAACATCCTACAATGCAAAGGACAGCCTCTACAACTAGGAATTATCTGGTCCCAACTGTCAGTAGTCAGAGGTTAAGACACCCTGGCCTAAGTCACAATGGCAGAAGCTTGTTCAGAAAGATGAACCGCAGCACTGGTCCTGAGTAGTGACCATGTAAAAGAAGGTGGGGCTACCTGTTTTATCTGTGACAAAGATAATATGCATTTAATCTGTCCAAACAGTTTTCAGTGACTGGACAGGAACTAAGGCCAAGCCAAGCAGAGTCTCATCCACCAGGTATTGGTCACAGTTTCATAATGTCAACCTTAATTACAGATATTGACTGAGACAACATAAAATACCCTCTCAGAGTGAAGTAGCTTACAATCTATCCTAATCTCTCTTCTAAATGCCAGAAATGAATTTTGAAAATGAAGGTCCAAAAATTATTATGTCTTTTAATTTAGTCATTATATTGAACTTTTCTCCCTACTTCTGCTATCAAGCTATTCTCCTACAAGGTCCATATCATTTGGCTAAGAAACCATAAATATCACTCCATAGGAAACATTCAGAGATCCCACAAAAATCAAGCCAAAAGACACAGAGGAAAATGACCTATGTGTATTTTTCCTTATAATATGATTCTTAATTTCTTTTAGACATTTATCGCCCATGTTCCCTGGCTACCTGGACACCAAAAACACCTCTGCATGCAGAGGAACAAACTGGGAAATAACATGCTTGAAGGCCTGTACCTCTGAGCAGATGCAGTTCACACAGTAAACCAGCCCATAAGGTTCCAGGTAAGGGTGCCATCTCTCGCCCACTCTGTACTTCTTGTCTTGAAACACACAGTATGTCTCTGAATCTGTGATAAAGGAAATGGAAGAGATGTCTGTTAGAAAATATTCATCAAGGCCTCCCTGGTGGTGCAAAGGGTTAAGCACTGCACTATTGAAGCAATCTGCAGCCTCTGCAGCAAGAGTTCGATTCCCAGCCAGCCAGCCAGGGAGCTACCCACATGGCACGGCAGACCTCTCCTGTCTTACCCACTGCTCCCCTCGGCAGTGTATTTCAGTCAGTCTGCCTATTCTGTTCCCCACTCTCTCTCTGGTGCATCCTCTCACCCCCTGCACCTCTGCCCTGTACCACAGCTCTTGTATGCATAAATAAATAAATTAAAAATATATATATTGATCAAGCCACAAAATTTAAAAGCAATCACAGGTTCTATCCCTCTCTGCGTACACCAAGGGAAGAGGCATAGAGAATAGGCACAGAACCCCTACTAGGGGCTCAATGCTTTACATGTTTTGCACATGTGATCCTATAATGATCCAGTAAGATAGATACTACAATTAGTCTCGTTTTGTAAGTGAGGGAAATCACCAACATACAGCCAGTAAGCAGCAGAAGTGGGACTCAAATCAGGCTTTGCCTGATAGTGAAGTCTTAATCTTAATTATTCCTCAGTTATAACGTTAAGAAGATATATGGTAAGAAGATTCCATATAATGGTAAGAAAATAAGGGACTATGTCATGTGTCCTTTTGGAAAAGGTTGTGCTCCCTACTTTGGAAATGTAAGCTGCTGTCGGAGATGCTGATCTATCAAAACATTCTCGAGCTGCCTGGAGGCATAGGAATGAATGACTAAATACACTGTTTTTGGTCTCTGCAAATGGCTTAGCCAATACATTCTAACATCATTCAATCATTAAACAAATATTTGAGCATTTTGCTCTTTGTCAAACAATATGCCAAGTGCCGAGGATAAAATGGTAAGCAAACCATACATAGTCCTCAATCTCATTCAACTTATAGATTTCCTGCTTACCCAACTCCCAATCAACTCAAAAGTAAAGTGTCCTTCCCTTTGGTGGAATAGAAAATTTTATAGTTTATCTTGCAACGTAGTTGAGCGCATAGTAAGTTTCTTGCCTTATTTTACATGTCTTATTTTCCTATGGGGTAAAATATCCTCAAAAGTAGGCAACATTTATTCTGTATTCTCTATCACATGGCCTAGCAGACTGTGGACAATAAATGTAAGCAATTGACCAATGACTGATAAATAAATTTCCAGACCATGTGGGTTTATCATCTAATCCCATCCTCTTATATTTCTGTAAATTTAAAATTGCTCTAGAAAATAACTATTTTTTTTTTAAGAAAAATGAGTAAAAGGCCAACAGATCAATAGAAATGTAAAGAAAAGAACTGACTGGTCACTGGAAAGAGAATTCAAAAGGCTCTTAAATTTGTGAGAAAAGCCAAATCTCACTCATAATTAGATAATTGTTATACAAAATGGTCTCCCCACCATCAGTTTTTCCAAGTTCTAAAAATGTGTATACACATTTGTATACATACACTGTGTATACACAGTAGCTATCACAATGCTGATAAACACACCTTTTAACCCAGGAATTTTCTTCTACTTTTCTACTCACACACTGCAATAAATGCCTCCATCAGTTGCCGCTTCCAAGAACCTCTAGCATTCTTTTCAACTATCCATAAGATAAATTTCAATTTATGTTTCAAATCATTATTTCCAGCTTCTTCATAATAATGAACTGAGGGTCAGAACTGTGTTTGTATCATAATTAGCTCTACCTGTGTAGCACTGAGCAAGTCATTTCAACTCTGTCAACCTCAGTTTCCATCGTCTGTGAAATATGCATTATATTTTTCTCAAGCAGATGTTGAAAGATTAAATTAATCTCTTTGTAATTTATAAAGTACTACAAAATGCAGATTATTATGCATTGTTTTTTCTAATTAGAAAAGGAATGTAGAAAACATACACAAACACAGAAAAAGAACAAATTGAAGACATCAAAGAATATGAAGGTAAGAAGCATCATACACACCAACTTTTAATATACTGGCAACTTATAAATATTCCATGGACTGAAGACAAAAATAAAAGAGAAATAAGAATGCATTTTGTACTACATTAAAATGAAAACAGAGTATCAAAATTGGTAGGATCCAATCAAGTACTTAAAGAGAAATTTATATCACTAACAACCTATATTTGAAAACAAATTAACACCTTAAAAAGGTGGAAAATTTAGAGCAAAATAAACCAAAGAGCAAACAGAAGGAAGGAATAACTAGAAAATAAAAATCAGTGAAATTGAAGACAAAAAATTGTATCAATTTTTATTGAGGTAACATAAGTTTAGAACACTGTCCATGATTTAGAGGAATACACATTTTCAGATGTATGTTTGCACACCACACCCACACCAAAGTGTCCATAATCCTACACCATAGGTCATAGACTGGGCCCCTTCCCACCTTTACTCTACACATGTACCTAGCCCTCTGGTAGCCTAGATTCTGCAGTTAAATTTCTAGTATTTCTTTGGTTTGGTATTATCTGTTCATTTGTTTTGTTTATACTCCACATGAGTGAAATCATCTGGTATTTATCTTTTCCCTTTTTTGACTTATTTGACAATTAACATAATTGCTCTAGTTCCATCCACATTGTTACTAATTGCAAGACTTCACATTTTATAGCTGTATAGTATTCAATTGTGTATATAACCACAGCTTCTTTATCTACTCAACTGTCATACACTTTGTGTAACTTGGATACTATAAATGGTGCTGCAATGAACACAGGAATGTATACATACATATGCATTGGTGTTTTTGCATTTTCAAGGTAGATATCTAGGAATGGAAGTACTGGATATATTTTTTAATATTCTGAGAAACCTCCATACTACCTTCCCTATGGGCTGAATCAGTCTACATTCCCACCAACAGTGTAAGAGAGTTCCTTTTTCTCCATACCCTTGCCAACATTTGTTGTTTCTGATCTTTATGATATGTGCCATTCTCATGTGTGAAATGGTATTTCATTGTGGTTATGATTTAGAGTTCTATGATGATAAGCATTTTTTTATGTGCCTGTTGATCATCTGTATGTCTTCTTTGGAGAAGTCTCTATTTAGCTCCTATGTCCATTTTTTGATTGGGTTAATTGCTTTCTTTATGTTGAGTTGTATGACCTCCTTGTAGATCTTCAGTAAGTCCATTTTTTTTCTTTTGCAAAAACTATAGAGACAGAAAACAAATCAGTATTTGCTAAGGGCTGTGGTGGAGGAAGTTCTTTGATACAAAAGAGCACAGAATAAATTTTAAGGGATTACAGATTCATTCTGTATCTTCATTATGTTGTGCTTACACGAAAGAATACACTGGTCAAACCTGTACTCTAAAATGGGTTTATTTTAGGGGAAAAGTTTTCAGTGTTTCACCATTAAGTATGTCGTCAGCTGTGGGTTTGCCATATGTGTTCTTTCTTTTGTTGATGTGTGTTCTTTCCAACTTATTGAATTTTTATCATAAATGGGTGTTGAATCTTCTCAAATGCTTTTTCAGTGTCTATTGATATGATCATGTAATTTCAATCTTCGCTTTTACTGACACAGTGTATTGCATTAGCTGATTTGTGTATGCTGAACCATCATAGTATCCCTGGAATGAATTCCACTTTATGATGTATGAATCCCTTAATATATTGCTTCATTAAATTTTCCAAGATTTTGGATAGGATTTTTTCATCTATGCTCATCACGGATATCAGTCTATAGTTTTCTTTTTCTTTTTATTTAAACAAATTTTATTTTTATATTCCCCATACAATTGCAACCCCCTATTTTGACCCCAATCCCTCCCCTCCCCATGCCCCACCCCCATAGAGTGTCTCTGGTTCATAGCTGTTTGTTGATTTTGATTTTCACTTTCTTATAAGTATAGTTTTCTTTTTTTATAATGTCTTTGTTTGGTTTTATGATCAAAGTTATATCAGTCTTATGAGATATGTTTGGGAGCATTCTTCCTGCTTAATTTTTGGAAAAGTTTGATATGAACAGATATTAGATCTTTGAAAGCCTGGTAAAATTTATTGTGAAGCCATCTGGTTCTGTTGTTGTCCAGTCTAAACACTATTATTCAACATAGTTTTGGAAGTCCTAGCCAGAGCAATCGGGCAAGAAAAATATATAAACATTATTCAAATTGGAAAAGAAGTAAAATTAATACTATCACTAATATACACAGAAATCCTAAAGATGCTACCCAAAAAAAAAAAAACGACTGGAAATATAAATAAATGTGTATAATAAAGTGGCAGGAAACAAAATCAATATAAAATCCTTGCTTTTCTATATGAAGACAATTAATTTGAGGAAAGAGAAATTAAGAAAAAATCCTATTTATAAATGCATCATGAAGAATAAAATATAAACAAAAGAAGTGAAAGACCTATACATGGAAAGCAGAAGACTACAAGATATTGTTAAAAGAGACAGAAGCCACAAAGAAATGGAAAGATATCCCAAATTCTTACATTGGAAGAACAGATATTATTAAAATGCCCATCTTTTCTAAAACAATTTACAGATACAATGTAATCCCTATCAAAATCTCAATGTCATTTTCAAGGAAATAGAAGAAATGTTTATAAAATTTGTATGGAACCACCAAAAAAAAAAAACCCATATAACTAATGCAATCCTGCAGAATAGAAGAAAAATGTAAATATCAGAATATATTACAAAGTAAAAGTAATCAAAACAGTCTGATACTGGAACAAAAACAGACATACACACTAATGGAACAGAACTGAGAGCCCACACATATATGGACAAGTAATTTATTTTTTTTTTAAAGATTTATTTATTTATTTATTTATTTATTTATTTATTTATTTATACAAGCACTGGGTACAGTCAGAAGCGCGGGAGGATGAGAGAATTCACCAGAGCCAGAGTGGGGAGCAGAGCAGGCAGAGGGACCGAAGTACACTGCTGAGGGGAGCAGCTGGCGGCAGGAGAGGTCTGCG